ACATACACTTTTTCTCTTGCTGTTTACTACAACTACCTGCCTCCCCCAACCTCTTTCTAACTTTTTTCTCCTCTCTATCTATCTATCTATCTATCTATCTATCTATCTATCTATCTATCTATCTATCTATCTATCTATCTATCTATCTATCTATCTATCAAAGAGCGTATGTATGGCGCGGGGAAGAGAAGTTGTCTATAATAATTGTTTCTCTCTGAGTCCAGTGTCTGACCACTCCTGTCAACGGTTTATGTGCTTTGCCTTATGACTGACGTCATTGCTTCTTTTGTTTCAGAACCGGTATCTCCACCCACAGCGAGTGAAAGAGTGCAACCCCCCCCCCCTCAAAGTTCCCCAGAAAAACCAGCAGAAGTCTCCACACGCACCACCACCACCTCCACAGACCAAATGCGGGCACCTGTCAAGGTATAACTCAGTCGCCATCGACGTCAGTAACAAGCTTACAAGTGATTATACCTCGGGATTAACACAACGTAACACGGTGTCAACCACAGCGAGCGCATGTGGGGACGTCGAGATGTTAACGCGCACGTAAACGATCCAGATAGCCCAACTGGAAGAAAAGGCGGAGTTGTCGAATCAAGCAGCGACGTCGACCTGCGGCAGTGGTGACTGCTCACCCGCCCTGACGTGATCAGTTTGAGTTGTGAGTTCTCACTAGTAGCACCTCGCCTTTTGAAACGTCGATCTCTCCTGGCCTGTGGTGGGTCGATACTGGACAGGAAACAAACCGCTGGGACGACTTCAGCTATTTTAATTCAGACCTGTGTCTTGCCAGGCGAAGTAGCCACGAACCCTTTATCGATAAATCGGACGTATTAGTGGGAGGGAACTCATCCCTTTGTTATGACGAAGGATTTTTTTCCAGTCGTTCGCAATTTTCCTAAAGGATACAAGGAATTTACAGTTGCTTCTTGTTCCATTGTTTCGAGTGGATCTCCGTTTCATCTTTATCTCACTCTGAACTCATCAACCTAACGAAGAAAGACAGTGACCTAATTTGGCTTTGACAAGGTTATTATGTTCATTGTTTGATGGAAACGTGTATCATCACGTGAAGGGAAACTAATAACATTTATTATTCCAGTTCCTTCTGGGTTCTCGACTTGCTGTCTGATCGGGAAAACCGAAAACACACCCGCTGTAAGTGGCAGAGTGGGTTTCAGCTGACGTTTTACTCTTTAAAAAGGTCTGGGACACACTGAAAGTGTATTATTATGCTCTTAGAATCCACGCTAAAGTAAAAGTAATTTCGAAAGAACCATTCAGGAATACAAGAGTTGTTTACGCTAGGTTGGAGTGGAGACGAAGACAGACAAGATGAGTCTTGGAGCTACTTATCGGAGACGAGGCAGAAAATCGTGGCCGCCGATTAAACGTGTGCGTTGTAGCCTCGTTCTCTGTCATTACTGCCTTGACAAAAGTGGATGCTTTAGCCTATAAAGTGGTTCTTACCGTACGCTCTAAGTCACACGCGTATCAAAGCTTCAGCTGCAAAGGTAGAGAAAAGTGAACGGTATCCAATTGGAATATAAGAAGTAGCGGTGTACAACTTTCTTAGGAGGAGAAACAGACTCTTAACCTTAAGATTTCTCGTTAGGAATAATGTGCACACTTTACTGCGAAAGGATTCAGTTTTTCTACACGACGTAACAGGATTGCTCCATTTTGTAACTCTTATCTTTGCCTAGTACATTTCTGTGAACGTACACAAAATACAAACTTGAGAGCAACAACTGGAGTTTCTGATAGCAGTACTTTGCACTTGAGTATTTCTGAGTCTATTTTTTTTTTTCAAATCCCTCAGAAGATTTGACACCACTTGCTCGTTTTCTATGTCATGCTTTCCAAAATCTATAGTGCAGTTTCAGTCAAGTGAACGAAACAGAACAGCTTACGTTCCCACGCCATTGAGGGAAACTTGAGGTTGTAGTGACAGTCTTTTGTCTTGAGAACCTGGATATAGACATACTGGTCTCTGTCTGTGGACTCATCAGTACAGACGTACTTCGAATCAATACTGGATGGAGATGATTCAAACTTGTCGTACCACACGCTTTACATCCCGAGGCTAAGCGGTCGGATGTATTGAATTGACTTCTTCACCGAGAACTGTCTTCAGGGGAAATATTAATTCAGTCATTTCTTCCAGCTCTCATTTTGCTCCTGACCTGACAAGGTGGTAGATGGACAATGTCTAGTTGTGGATTGCTGTGGTAAGAGCAAAATGTCGGGCGTATACTGTGGTTTGCTTTTGAGAGCAACTTAAATGCAAGAACTTCCTGGAGAGTTTCCATTCTTGACTTACCGGAACTCGAAATCATTGTCTAATAGACGATAGTATATTCAACGCAGAAAAATACTACTAAATTAAAGATTTATAGTGCCTATTGTGTTTTTAATCGATTTCTGAAAGCACGGCGAGAGATTCATGGTCTTGGGTGGGTCACTGCAGGAGCATGACCAGAAATTTCCAATCCTTACAAAAGAGACTCTCATATTATGCCCCTACAAGCTATTTCTCTCTCTCTTTCTCCCTCTCTCTCCCTTTTTAACTCCCTTCCCCCCCCC